CTCTCTCTCTCTCTCTCTCTCTCTCTCTCTCTCTCTCTCTCTCTCTCTCTCTCTCTCTCTCTCTTTCTATCTATCTATCTCTCCGCCGCAGGAGGATGGAATGCGCGACGCTACGCGGCGCCGCGACAATACACATTTCGCAATTACGTCCCGTCAAAGACAATCCGTTCCCTCGCTGGCTCGACATCTGCTCTCGTACTCTCGTCGCCGCCCAACGCTAAATTCGATCATGCACGATCACCATACCGCGTTCGCGCTGAGCGGATGATGAGGCGGCAGGTGGACGAAGAAGGTAACCCTGGGTTCCTATATTGTTTTTTCTCAGGTTTTTTTAAGCCGCCGACCTGTCAAAATTGTCGGACCGACAAGCCAGGTCATTTCTATCTCGAGACTGCAACGAAATTTGCGCTCCGATTAATTTCACGCTGCAAAAAATCTTGTGCTAAACTTAACGCATTTCACATGTGCCAATTGATCCACTGTAATTTTTGTGTTAATTTCACGCAAGGCGAATGTGTGAGGAAATAACACAGATAATACTTGGCGAAAATTAATACCAAAATGTCACACTTTTGTGTTACGTTAACATTTAGAAAGGCATGAGCTCAACGCAAAATAGTCGAAAGATAATACAAGGACAATGTATTGACGCACGGATATGTTAAGAATTCAAGTTTTTGCACGAGTCGATTTCGATACAAATACAAAAGTCGTTTTTTTGCTGCGCAAATCAATACGCTCGACTAGAGCGACTTGGATTCTTAGTCTGAGCGTGAAATCTCAGTGGGTGAAAATCGATTCGCGCAGAGAGAATCGCGCACGGTTTCTGGACAAAAGAATGATTCGGAAATTCTTCAGCCGTCTGATAATGCTTGGAGTGGCATAATCGCATCGGACATTTCACGTGCACCGCGTACACGTACAGTTCGTTAACTTCTCGCTGCGTGTCTCTTCGAGCGAGATATAATCCCCGTCACTGTCACTCTAGCCCCTGTGTATATTTTTCGCTGTTGTCGGCCGAATGTCCACGGATTGGCGAAGCGATTAATTATTGCTCCTACTGGCGCTAAAAATAATGGTGACCTCTTTCTCGCGCGGGATAGACACAGTAGTGCCGTCGTGTTACGCGACTGTCGCAAATGCGTTTGCGAAACGATCGATCACAATTCGACGTTCGAAATTTATTGACTCAGCGTGTGCCGCCGCACACGTCGTGTTCGCAAGAAGCTCCGTTGGGCCTTTAGCGAGAATATCTTTTAGAAGGATCGAGGATTAACGCATTAATGGAAGATTAATAATGTCTGCCTTTTCTTCAACCGTGTCTTGCACTAACATGCGACGGTATGCATTACAGCGGCACGAGATGCATCGAAGGGTGGGATACAAGAATTATGACGGCAAGATCGCCGGGCTCTACGACCTGGAAGAGACCCTCGGCCGCGGTCACTTCGCCGTGGTGAAACTGGCGCGGCACGTCTTCACCGGAGAGAAGGTCGCAGTGAAGGTCATCGAGAAGAGCAAGCTCGATGAAGTCTCGAGGGCGCACCTCTTCCAAGAGGTGAGAGAAACACAGGCGATAAGTCTTTTCGCGAAGAGCGAGCTTGTCGATTACATTCCGACGACTTTTCCTTGGCCTCTTGGACTCTCGCTTAGTTCATCGCTTTTACCTGCGGGAACAATGTAGAAAACGCGTTCTCTTATTGAAAATCGTGCAAGTAATAAGAGTTACACAAAAAGTTTGGTTATATTAACAAAATTTTCGGGTGAAATATGAACAAATCGGATCTAATTTACTAGAATTTTGTTTAATTCAACAGTATTTCTGACTTGTTCAAGTTTTGTCGGAAATTTTGTTAATACAACCAAATGTTTTCCGTGCAGGAGATATTGAAATTCATAGAGTCAACAAGGAGGATTTGTGATGTTTTCCCCGCGCTTTTCTTTAATTATCTTTTTTTTCACTGCATGTATCTTTCGCTGTGCAACTTGTGCAGTCCTGTCGATACGAATCGCGTTGCTCCAGATTTACATTATATCTCACGTCCGTTACACGTCCGAGCGAGGTCCAGCCTGTATGCTCTAATAACATTCTGATCGCTATTACAATTTTGCACGATTCACGACTCCGCAATCGCGTCAGGCCGTAGTCGGGCTTTCCGCCTGAAAATCTGTTTGATGTGCTAATGGAAACCGGCAGAGAGCCCCGATGACACCCTGATTCGCGTAATGTCGTTTTAATGGCTGGTTCGACGGTCGGAGGAGATGATCGGAATGGTCTCGCGTAGTTACATCGCGCGCGGACCTCATACCGCGGCGGATCTCGTTAAGGTCAACGAGATAATGATGCAAATGGATGGCGGACAGTATCGTTGACCCCACGATTGAGATTCGCTCGGGCGAAACGAATCTCGCTATTTATCGCTCGATCTATCGCGAATTAACTCTGTCTGTCGGCCGGCAGGTGCGGTGCATGAAGCTGGTGCAGCATCCCAATGTCGTGCGACTGTACGAGGTGATAGACACGCAGACGAAGCTATACCTAATTCTAGAACTCGGCGATGGCGGGGACCTCTATGATTACATCATGCGCCACGACAGCGGCCTCAGCGAGGAGGTATTGTTGCCGACTATTGTCACTACATTATGCCGTCGGCTTGCAATTAACGCGCGCGAACGCAGAACATGGCTCTAAACTCCGACGCGAAATTGAGGTGTTCGCGCACTGTTTTAACTTCGTTATCGAACACGGTGCCTCCATTATTACACATTACATATATAGAGAGAGAGAAAGAGAGAGAGTATTGTCTTTCATATACTTGTACGTGGGAGAAATGTCGTTACGCGTTTAATTTCACGAAATTAATATTATAGAATTGACTTTAGAACTATTTAAAATATAAAGGATTAATGAGTCAAATAGTTCGGCTCGATTTTTCAATCGAATGATTTCGCACGCATTCGCTGGGAAAAAGAATTATTTCTCAGCCAAGCAATCGTGGTTGTTGTTTGTGATTTTTTTCGCTAACGTTCTGGCAATATTCGTACACTTCTATCGTGAAAGATAGCCGGGTTTACCGTCGAGGGAAATCGAATCGGACTCTTAGATCATCTCGATATTAATTACACGAAGATACTTGTATATTATTTTTGTATCTCGACTATTGGTCGAATAGCACGCTGAAACTGCGTAGTATCCGATCGAGCGCATCTGTGCGCGGCGTAACGCTTATGTTCCCACTGCTGTCAGGTGGCGAGGACTTACTTTCGACAGATAGTCCGGGCCATATCATATTGCCATCGGCTGCACGTGGTGCACCGGGATTTAAAGCCCGAGAACGTAGTGTTCTTCGAGAAGCTCGGCACGGTGAAACTCACGGACTTCGGATTCAGCAATCGATTCTGCCCCGGCCAAAAGCTCGAGACATCGTGCGGCTCGTTAGCTTATTCCGCCCCGGAGATACTTCTGGGTGATAGTTACGACGCCCCCGCAGTAGGTAAGCTCGTTGATCGATGTGATTACGCATGAGGTAAAGGTGACCTGAATTGTCAGAATCGCTCTGTCATTAACTTGGCGGCTTCTTGAGTTCGCGTCGTGTATGTCGCACTATTGCGTAAATGCACGAACATTTCTCTCGTTGGAATATTTACCAAGGTAAACGCGAGACGACCCACTCGACCCAACCAACAACCCGTCATTGATCTGTTGCAGATGTTTGGTCGTTAGGTGTAATACTGTACATGTTAGTATGCGGTCAAGCGCCATTTCAAGAGGCGAACGACAGCGAGACGCTGACGATGATCATGGATTGCAAGTATTCGATCCCGGCGCACGTGTCCGACGGCTGCAAGCGATTGATCGCGAAGATGCTTGTGCGGGAACCCGAGGGCAGAGCCTCGCTGGAAGAGATCGCGGCGGACCCGTGGCTGGCGATCGGCTCGGATTCCGACACTATGGAGACGTTGCCGCTCGTGTCGCGTCAGCAAGTCTCCGACGACCATCATAATCATATAATCGCCAAAATGGTGAAAGGTGAAATCGCCACCAAGGAGGAGATCTTGGAGTGAGTAAACATTAGGAAGAGAGTCATCACTCATTTCGTTCGTGTCGTCGTTTGCCGCATTAATGTAATTCGTATTCACATTCGCGCGACTCCTGGTTCTACCTCTGAATTTTTTTCTTGCAGCGCGCTCGACAAGAATGAATACAACCACATCACCGCGACGTATTTTCTGCTGGCGGAGAGGAAGCTGCGCGCTCATCGGCAAGAACAAATGCAGAAAGCTCGACCAGAGAATTTGGATGTCTCTCCGAGGTATGTCTTCCACGTACTGAATCGCTTATTACTGAATCACTTATTACTGAATCACTTAATTAGTGTTGCCGCTAATGCGACGACGTGACTCATTCGTAAAACTCGCGATTTCTAAACGTTTACGCTACTCGCGCGTTCAATCATTGATATGTCAACGTAATGCTGTTGAATTCTGTGCAGTCGGCAAGATGACTTGACGACAAATCTGCGTACGGATCAGAACTCCTTGGGCACCGTAAGCCAGTCGCTATTGAGCGTACCACGAACGCCTGGTGACGTACCGCAGGTACGTATCACATGTCCATCGTCTAGATCAACGTCGGCTAAGATGAACGAGCGTAAAGTCACGGCAGGCAGCACGTGACGGCAGCCTGCCGCAGATGATAGCGTTCCTCTCGCGAAAAACGATGGCTCTTCTCGTTGCAGAACGTACGTACGCGAAAGTGCAGTATCGTCCAAGAGGAAGAAGACGAGGATGACGTGTCCTCGTGCTCCGGCCGAGACGAACGCGGCAGTAATTCGGCGTTGAACTCCTTCAATCGTCGCGGCTCTCGTTCCGAGGGCAAGCTCTCGCATATCCTGCAGGAGAAGTTGTCGCAACTGCCGGAGAAGCATAGCGGCATGAAACCCGCTGTGCAAGGCCAACGGCATCCGCATCAGAAGGAAGACGCCGCCGTTATCTCTGACAGAGGGGAAAGACTGAAGCAGAGCGCGAGAAACGAGAAAGATAACAAGATGTCATCGCCGGCACATCCGAAGAGCAAAATCCAGACGAGCGAGGTCCTTCTGGAAGAACTGCCCATGCCGTGGATCACGACGACACGTGAGGAGAATCTGAAGAACCTATTGAGCGATGCGAATACTCAGTCAACGGGGTGGGCTAGGAAAGCTACCGGAACGGAAGTTAGGCCGAAACTGGTAACGGAGTGTCTGAAGTCAACCGGACATGTACCGATAAATAAGTGGAAGTCGGGCACGCAGCATCATCGGTCCAGCTTGCCACCTACAGAATTGTCGACGAATCCCTCGAAACCGTCCGAAGCAGCTACGACGACTACCACTACAATTCTGTTGGAATCGTCGACTGTGTCGATACCCCTTCGTCCGATTAGCGACAATCAGTTGACGTTGATACCCAAATACAAGACCATGCCGTCGCCTAGCAGCACGAACTCTCCTAGTCCACAAATCACGCTCAACGAAATCCTGGAAGACGGAGACGGCATGCAGATGCAGGCGAGCGAATGTGGCGGCTCAACAGCGGCTAAATGTCGCGTAGTCAGACGAACAACATACGAGCAGCGCAGGAGCAAGTTCCACAAAACGCGCACAACCTCGTGCTCGAGCTCGGACGCCAGTGACGACGACAGCGAGAGCAGAAAGAAGCGAGCGCACAAACTCGGCGCGTCCACGGGTAAACCCTTGCCGCCAAGACGCGACAGTCACGACGACTCGAGCGACTCGCAAGATCCAGGAGGAAGCGGTGGCGGTAGAGGCGGTGTAGGTGGCGGAGGTGGTAGCGGCGTGAGTAACGGCGAGCACACAACGACCGACACGCCGACGACAACCGAGAACAATCGGAACGACAGCGGTAGCGGCACTAATACAACGACAACGACAACTGGCGGCAGGCATCGATGCACCGAAAACCAGAGCATGTTCGGCAGAAGGCATCGCGCCGGCCGAAGAAGAGCCGGTGAGACGCGACTGCGAGAGAGTCAATCGTTGAATCGTATCACCGAGGTCCAAGAAGCCGAAGCGCCCTCATCATGTTATAATCACTGTCACATGTCGCGTAACTCGACCGTCCTTGGCACACAGAACAACGTCTCCTCGCCATCGTCATCATCAGTGTCGCAGAGCAGCACAGCCTCCCATAGCGCCTCCGCCACTCAGCCTACGTCACAAGTGACGACTACGGTGCAAAAGGCGAAAGGTCTCGGGGCAAGATTGTTGCAGAGCTGGTCGCTCGGTACCGGTAAGACGCAACACGCCTCGAAACACTCGTCATCGTCCGCTCACAGTGTCGACGGGAAGGCTAACAACTGTCAACGGCAATTGGGCGGCGGGAACGCCGTCGACGATCGTCGATCAGCGGATCACAAGTGCATGAATCAATCCACGGTGTGCAACGACAAGGAGAACCGCAACGCGTCGATGAACCGGAACGAGTGTAAGAGCAGGAAGATCCGGTTATTGAGCCGTTACTTCGCTGTGCACAAAAAGCTTTGCGTGCCACTGCCAGGTATTTTCGGCAAAGGACGTCTTTACAAGGCGCGCTCATGCGGCAGCATCACCCGCGACCGTGTGAGCCCACCGTCGCCCAAGTCGATGCTGCTGTGCCCGCCAGCGGAAGACAAGTGGCGGGAACGTCAGCAATGGTGTGACGCGAAGCAGCACCGCGGCAGCGATGGTGACATCAATCAGAACCTAGGCCTGGCGCATCTCGTGCAGGAGAGCATCGTAGGTAAGGGCTGCGCCGGCATGCCCACAGTGTGCCACATTCATCTCGGGGACGCTTCCAAGTGTTGCAGCCTTTGTTGATGAATCGCTCATCGTCGCAGACGAGAACGCGGGAACTCGGGCGCGCGTGAATGCGTATAAGATACGAAAGACGCGAGAGTTGCACTAGGTAAGAAACAAGAATCGTTTCCGGTGCCAGTGACGTAGCCGATACGGCTTGCGCGCGTGTAAAGCTTTTTTCGCGAAGAACCTTTTCGTTCGTTATGTATCATTTCCAGCGAAATAGTATATATAGAGAGAGAGAGAGAGAGAGAGAGAGAGAGAGAGAGAGAGAGAGAGAGCGAGATGAAGAAAGATACATATTCTTCGCGACGTTGATGCGCGATCGAGAAAGATCTGATTTTTATTTTTCTTTTTCTTGGAGAATCCGCAATTTGAAACACCGCGCGCCTCTGAAACAACGCGTGACGAGAGCTGTCGCTCACAGTGGCTAACGATTACCGTATTTCTAAGCGCGAGATCGCACTCGTGTCCCTGTATAAACAACCTCACTCTGTAAGCAATACAGCGTGCATGCGTGTCGATGATCAGCAATACAGAAAAGCTCCAGTATTTTTTTCTTTTTCTTGTTCATTGACGACGAAATTTACGTAGTTAGTTTAGAACACACGTTGATGCACGTGCGGTAACGGTTAGCCACGAAATCAAGAGTTACATGACTCCGGTCTGCCATCGATGTATTTGACTGATCACATCATATCCCCGTTGGTCAACTATCGAGCATACAAGGATTAAGGCGAGAGCAAAAGAGAGCAAAAGGAGCGCGTCGATCTGTCGCTCGCTCCGAGAGAAGGTGTATCTAGTCCATATGAACAAACCTGTATTAAATATTGCAGAGTTTATGATATAATTATATTATATATTATTATATATTATTATTATATTATACCACACTACACACACTATACTACTACTGCTATTACTACTATTACCGTTATTACTATTACGATCGCTATTATAATCGTGAGATCATCATCACTATCACGATTATCGCTATTGTCATCATCATCATCAGCATCATTGCCACGTTCGCCTCCATCGCCATATAGCTATCTCTCTTCTTCGTGAATATTTATAATGCAGAGAAACCCAAGTACAGTGTAATAACGCATAATGCGTCGCTGACGCAACTAGCGATCGACAAGTACGAAATCGCACAGTGTCGAACAGTGTCTTCCTCGTCCTACTTTTTTGTCGATTCCTCCCTTTTCGTTCATACTTTCTTCTCCTCTGCCTCATTGCTCGTTCTTCTCCTCCTCCTTCTTCTCCTTCACCAGATAGCATTGCCTTTACGAAGCTTCCTCGTTAACTCGTTAACTTATTAAGACGGAGAACACATAGTTTCCGAATGGCGATTGACTATATATATCTATATATATATATAAATAAATATATATATATATATATATATATATATATATATATATATATTAACAATTAACCGAACGGATATGCGAGCATTGGCCCCACGGCGCAACAGCCTGAGTCGCGTTTCGAAGGTGGAACGAGCGAGGGGAGAAACTCACTCGCACGGAGTTTGTATATTGTCTGTTGAACACGGTGCAAGAGAGTAGAAGTGTACTTCTTCAGCGAGCAACATGCGCGCGTTTATATTAGTAGCTTAAGAGGGTAAGCGGCGATAAAAGCAATCGTCATTATATCTCGACCCATTCTCGTAGCTGGAATGATCGGCAGCGATGAAGACAGTAGGTGAAGATCTGTTGAACGTGCTTGCCGGTTAAGCACGTCCGCGACATTCGGCGATCTGCTCGTTCTCCGAAGTGCTCGCGTCACGTACTCGATGGTCGGTCGATCGGTTGGTCGGACGGATAATATCGTCGTATTTAGTCATCGTCATCGTTCATCCACGTCATACGGGCGCTGTGCCCAGAAAGAAAGAGGTACCTACGATTATCGTGCGTGCAAACGTAATCGAATGTATGTGTGTATATGCGTGCGCGCGCGTGTGTGTGTGTGTGTATGCGTGCGCGCGTGTGTGATCGTAGCGCGGCGAAAATTCATCGAATGATTTGTCACAGCGCGTTGTCGCTTCTCTCACGTAGCGAAGCGAGTGCTTTTCCGTTTTTCCGTTATCATCCAGTCGTTCCCACCCGTCCTCATACCGTCCGATTCAGTTCCATTGTACCTTCGCATCAGTTCATGAGTCTCGACCACCGAGTGCTGGACACTCGACAAATGAACGACGAGACGAGTTTCCCGCGGCGATACGCGCGCGTTTCCCGGCTTCCTCCCCTTCCTTCTCCGCCCTGTTTTGTACACACACCTCACGTTTGATATCGTGCGAATAAGGCTAGAGCATATGGATATGTGCGTGTGTGAGTGAGCACACACGACATGTGCGTGATATCGTACGGCGATGTTTAACGTAAGAGGCAATTATATCGATTTGTCGCAACGCCGGCAAAGAGACGGTCTCTCTCAAATCGTCACTGCCGACGCTCGTCGAAGCCCCTTTTCTTCTTCCACCCCCCTCCGTCCCTGTTATTCTCCTCGTTTGCGTGTTTGTTATAAGCTCACGACTGTCCGCGAGACGCGTCGCATTGTAACTTCTTTGATAAAGACTGAAGAATCCCGCAATGACTTGGATGATATCTCGACTACCACCTCTACTTACCTACTTATCTGCCTACCTATTATCGATCTATCAACCTATCTACCTACCTGTCTACCTACTTACCTACTGCGTCGTACGATGACGATGACCTAACGAGACCAAAAATGATAATTCGTAAGAATTCACACAGACCTAAGTTTGCGCTAGCTACAAAAGTGCAATACTGTCGTACAAAGCCAAGTACCTTGTGTCGGTAGTCGTTGATTTTAAGATTCGACTCGATTTTATCTTTTTCACCCTAGCTAAACATACTACTACTATTATACTCGGGATTCTAACTCGAAAACTCGGAGCTAATTACATTCGCGGTATACATGGGCATTAAACGTTATTTCTCGGTGTACGGAGTATGATAATATTTCGGGAAAGAAAGCGATATAAGACTTTATTAGGGCTACAAAAACTCTCTCTCCCCGCTGCGAACGATCGTACGAGGGGATTGTTGTTATTGTTGTTGTAGTAGTTACACCGACAAAAGTGGGGAAGAGAATTCATCTTAGCACGATCAGCGCGAAAGCTCAAGCGAAATTTCCTCGCAGGATCTCCCAAGGATCGTCGCGCGGCTTGTGTGTCGGTCCTATATACATATATATATATATATATATATATATATATACATACATATATATATATATATATATATATATATATATATACACATACATATATTTATGTAAATCGCGAGCGTCTCTTTCGCGAAGCGAAGCTCGAATCAACTGTATATTCTGGAGCTGCAAATAGAGTATAAAGTATCTCTCTTCCGTGTGTACATATCTTTGACATTTTCCTATGTCTGGGACAACTCACTCACCCCGAGCGAACTGTTAGCGGTAAATGAGAAAGCGCGAGAAAGAAAGAGAGAGAGAGAAAGAGAGATAAAATATTTTCGTGCTGTAAAACGGAACGCCAATCCACGTTGTGGCTTTTCATGTAAGGTACGCGCACATACGATGTGTTGCGACGAAATTTAAGCGCCGCATCGAACGCATGTGATTCCGTAGCGAGTTAGTTTGCTCTCGCGCTGCTCACTAATTTCGCCCTCCTTTTCGAGCGCGAGGGCCGCTCGATGCTTCAGACATCATCGTCGTCGTCGTCGTCGTCTTCGTCGTCGCATCGTATCAAGGCGAACGCCGAGAGAATTCTCTCTGAAACGGTCTACTTCTCTATAGTCTATCCGGCCTGAACTGACCAAAGCCCCCAACGATAACACTCCGCCCGAATCGCCCGTAGCCTCCGACTCGTCATCCCGACTTACTGCCAGCTGAGTGTGTTTTGAGAGAAAGAAAGAAAGAAATACAGGACACGCCGCTCTCTTCGCTAAACCGGCATAAGGTGAAATCTCTGTATACCGCCAGCATGATCGTTCATGCACTGTTGTGCGCGCATCCGGACGAAATAAATTCAAAGTGACAAAGTTAACACCTGCACCCTGGCAATTGCCGAGCGCTCTCTCTAATCCTCCCACTCGTATCCCCAGTCTTTTTCAGTCTTCGCTTTCTGCGACATCGTGACTCTTTCGCGCTCTCAGCGAAAGGATAGGAAGAAGTAAGTAGCAGTAGCTGCGCGTAAAACGAGTTTGTCGGGCTTGTACATGTGGAATGCGGGTGTCTGCCGTAAATTCTTTATAATATTCTTTAACTTTCATACACTAATCATTTCACAATACGCATACAATATTATAATCTCTGCTTATATATCTTTATAGATCTCTTCCGAAATTACATAACTGTATCGTAATCAACGGCGAGCTTCTATCGAGCTTGTTCTCATGTCTTATTAATGGCGTTTGTACTAAAATTGGACTGTCGCGGCTCGAGGCCACTTTGGACGAGCCGTAATTCGCGACGAAGCAGAAATCGAGGCAAAATTCGATTTACAAGAGAGCATTTCAAGATTTCCAATTATACGTGCGTGTTGCAACAAGAGTACATCTGTAAATCTTTAATTTTATCCCGTGTATGCAAAAAACAGCGTATAGAACTATAAATAGAATTCTATGTACGCGCGCATGTGTGTCACGAATATAAGCCTCGCAAAGTGGACTCTAACGAAATCTAGCTTATGTGTAGGCACTTGGTTATAAAAAGAAATGTATATACAACGGTAAAATAGTAACACCTGTGTGAGTGACTCTCATACGCTCGAGTGCGAGACAGGCGCCTCATAAGTAAATTTGTTCGTTGATCATCTCGAATGATTCGAAATGAATTTGGACTGCCAATCGGCGTGCTCGTAACAATCATTATATGCTTATCGTATCTAAGTTAACTAAGTTCGTAATATCTCTCTCTCTGTGTTCATATAAAAAAGTATTCAACGTTATCGTAGCGGCCATAAATATTTTTAGAAACAGGAACTTCGAAAATATAGAATGACTCGCAAACATTCTTCGTAATGTAAATCAGTCCATCAGATCGATTGGCGATACGATCGATTGTACAATTACCACGTCATATTGACGTGGAATAACTGCGGTAACTGGGCTGTATAAGAAGAGAAGACGTGTCTTGTGCGTGTTACATATAAAAGAAAAATCCCGTTTCTTTGCGCGTGTTTCTCTGCTCCGCGATTCACCCAATTCGTCGGGAGAATTCACTATTCATTCTGCACGTCAAATTCCAACATGCGTTCTCCACGTCTCTTTCAGTCTTGCGTTTTTAACTGAGATATTCGAGTTTTCGCGCAACACTGCTCTTTCCCATATCACAAAATCATTCGAACGATCCTTGACGCTTGTTACGTAGCGGCTTCCTGCCGCTGATCCAAATGTCTCAGAGCTTTCTTACTGTTCTCCACGAACTCCTAAATGAAATAAAGAATTGTTACGAGTGAAATAATTCTTTAGAAGTTCTTCACGGGACAAAAGAATTTAGGTAGATCAATCAAATGTCTAGTGAAATGTGAATGAATTAGAATTCCGGTTGAAATTATCAGAATTTTGTGTTTAAGCTAACAAGATTCTGGTTAACCAAACAAGATTTATGATTTTTTTTTTTTGGCGATTTTGTTCAAATTGAACAGTTGCAAGTTCTGTTTGAAAATCTTGTTAACTTGTTAACCAGAAATTCTGTCGATTTTGTCAAATAATAAATTCGACTGCAATTCTGGTTCGTTTATTTTTTACCAGAGACATTTGGTTAATGCAACTAAACTTTTTTCCCTACATAACAATTGAAAGACGCGCGTTGTAACTGATACTAACCATCAAGCCGCGGCTCATGAAGTAAGGCCGGCCGATACCGTCATTCTTCTCGCAATCTTCGCAGAAGCATATAAATATCGTATCGATGATCATCTGCAAAAAAAACGGATCGTTAATTCTCAACAGTATTCGTCTCTACCGCGTCATTTGACTTGTATGTTGCTCACCTCATAGATAGAAATGAAGCAATGCGCGACTAAAAACGCGAATATTCCTGCGATAGTGATCGGCACCCAAGGATGATGGAGACCATCTTTTTTCTGCGAAACAGGCGAAATTTCAGTACATCATGAGAACCAACCAAAGTCAAACGGTATGATCGACTCGTACCTGCATCAAATATATCCCCGAAATAACGGTCAAGGTGATAACCAAAACTTTACCCAGGAACAGGACGAAGTCACCCACACTGTTGATTGCTGCTACTCGCAGAATGTTGCTTGATAAAGCCTGGAAGGCCTTCCTTCCGCCCGTGCAGAAGTTGCACCCGTATATAGCTGAAAATATAATGTATCGTTATTTGTGATCACAAAAGTCGCAACGAATGAGTAAAGTTTATTTCATCGTTCCATGATATCATTCGTGAAAGTAGCTCATGAAAGTTACAAAGGAAGACTCGCAATCGATGAACGATACGAATTTCTAGCTATGTCGCGGTATACAAGATACACTTCGGTTACCTGTTTCGATGTAAGCATTCCTAGTGAGAAATTTCAGAGCGCACTCGAAGCACCAAAGGCAACATTGACAACACCAGAGTATCCCTTTCACGCAGCTGTTGTCATAACGCTTCAGATGATTTTGAACGAAAGAAATCATGGCTCTGATAAGCCGAACGATGCCTATTATCAGAGATCCGAAGGCGACGGTGCCCAAGTGATATCTCATGAGATAGCCGAAACCGCGTGTCACCGCGAGGGAGAGGCGCTTCTTGTCCCTGTGAACACAATTCGTTCATTCAAACTCCCACAGACGAGACAAACACTACTGATGAGAGGTCAAACGATTAGTTTTCAAGCAAGTTCACGACTAATATTAAGCGTGAGATTGAAACTGACGAAGCTACGTTCGCATAGTTATCAGGGACTCGCACTTCTTCTCCAGCCACGAGCATGACGAGAGTTTACTTTTTATCGTTTGCTCTTTGCTCGGTTTTTTGCGAGCGACTCACCTCGTGAAGAACCACCGAGCGACGGCGCAAGCGACGACCAAGTGTTGGCAACCCAAATAAAACTCGCACGACACGAAGAACAGGAACAGATTGTACCACCTCGTCGCCTGTATCAATTATATTATAGTGATATATCGCGATCATACAGACGAGGAGAAGAAAAAGAGATGAGATGCGCTCACGTACAATAAGTAAGGCGTCCTTGCGGAAGTGAATGTGATTCTTCTTATTGACATAAATGTCACCGGCGCTCTCGATCCACAGCATACAATACATCCACGCTACCACCGTGAGACCGATCAGCAGATACGTCTGAAAATAGGATTTCGCGTTTGCGAGGTCCAACGTTCTTCTGTTCGACGAAACGAAAATACAGCCACGGTGTAATTGAATCGAGATGCACTCACGTAGATCGGCTGAAACAGCAAGGCCGGCATCGCGCACACCGCCTTGCCCGCCTCCCGGAAGAGCTGCATGACCAGCGCGATCCGTTTCCTCATCACCAGGACCACCAGAAGCGTGATAGCCTGCGAGAAATGCGTGTGCATATATACGCTATTATGTGTGTATATGCGTGCATGCATGCGTGTTCGTGTGAATTGTTTATGAGAAAGCGCAATGGCAGATACATAACGGTTTCTCTTACCGTAACGACCGACATAATAATAGCGTAGATGAAGTAGGGCTCCACGCTGGAATCCTCGGGGAGTATCGCGTTCGCTTTTACGGCCGCATTTTCATTGTACCACGCTAACCTATTTGGAAAAGATGACACATTAGTGGCGTCAAAATTATTATAATCATGAATAATCGAAATTAAAAATTGATATTGCTGGAAATAATTAGAATCTCAGGTGATTGAAGTATTAATATAATACTGTTATTCCCATTAGTCTCTTGAATTCCCAAATTAAAAAACTAAACATGAGATTCTTCTTTTGCTCGCTATATATATATATATATATATGATTTTAATCTGGAAACAGTTGCCTTTTTACCAGAGATACGTCGTGCCGCCGATGCAGGCGATAATTACGCCGATCAATACGATATAAATGATCCATTGCACCATATAGCGGAAAGCCACCAGGATGGCGAGCGAGATGGCTGAAAAACCAATCGGCCGCAATCAATCACTCGAGATCACGTTGCGTTCGTGGACGCCGATGTAAAAACTTATTCCCGAAATTTAATACACGAGAGTGTCGTATCGTCCGGATAAAAGAAGAAAAGATTCTGCTGCGCAATTACTCGCATACACACACACAAGCATGGAGAGAAACGCGATCTGGAATTTCTTGGATTTATATTACACCGTGTAAATCATGTCTCGCGGCACTCTCGTGTTTAATTGAACGTTCGATCGGACACTGGAAATAATACGATTCTGAAATATCGCGCCGAGTTTCGGGAAATATACGTACCCAATGCTATGAGCAGGAGATAGATCAATTCGCGCCAAGCAACCCCCAGATCGCTGACCGCTTCCTGCAATAATAACTTCGTGAATTGCATGTGAATTTGTCATATCGACACGCTACGTCGCTCTCTTCGACTATTTCGCCCGACTAACGAAGCAATCGGTCTATTATTCTCGAGAGCGCACTGATCGTGTCCATGTCACGCCGGGGAAAGAGCACAGTGTGTACGTAACCGAAACAAGTAACTCTCCCCAGAAATTGGGTTAATGTAATTTGAGAGACTTCGATTTGAGCGCAACACGATATCGGATCGCTGTAAAATACTCCGCGCGCCCAGCCAAAATATCCATCTATTCCTGACGTATCTACCTAGTTTACCGTTATTTTCAAAATAAGTTTCAAAATAAGGTTCGACGACCGAGTGACGCGTGTGTGATGTTTCGTCGGCAAAACCATATCATCTCGTATTTTGTCCGTCTAATAACGGAACGGCTGACAATCGCATGTATTTCTCACGCGAAAAGAGACAACAATGGTCAGATAACACGACACGAGGTGTATTCCCGGAACATCGGATAAGCTATCTCTTGATCGATAAGATCGGAAATGTCCGAGAGTATATACAAGAGATTAACATACGATATCGAATCGTGTTCCACAGTATTGATTTAGATCGGCATTGATTTTCGCTGAATGTTGACACGAAAGCCCGGCGATATTAAGGGACTTCTGCACGCGAAACGATGATAGATTATTTAATGAGCGAATAAGCAACATTTTCTCAAGAATGCCCACTTACTCTGTAAAAGCTATCCAAGCCAAGATTCCTTATTATTGAATGGATGGTGTCAGTTGCCTGTTTTTGCACGCAACGGTTCAGGAACAGCATTCTGCGAAACGAACACGGGAAATTAAGATGGTGGATGAAACGTAACTATGAACGAGAACAATCGAGAATTCGCGCGCACGATTACACTCAGAAAATAATATAATCTCATCCTCAGTGGATTCCTCAAGAGAGTTCTTGTGAAATAAAAAGAAAAACGTTCAGAAAAGAGAAAACTCTAGTTGCAAGGTGCAATTTTACCCGCAATTCCATATTCTAAGCGGAAAGTTCTACAAAAAGGGGTATTTCTCTTCTAATGAAGAAGAATGATACTGTGCTTAGAGTATTTTTCTGCTGGCTTTGGAAGAGTACTCTTGAGGCCATACATAAGAGGGTTCCGCTAAAGATGAGATTAAGGAATTAATTTTTAAACCAGCCGCGCCTCGATGAACGGCGAGACGGAAAGGACGGCGTGGCCTCATCGAGTTTCGATCTCGGACGATACTCACTTCGGTTTGTCTGCCGTTGAGTCGCAGCTCTCCACACACTTGCGATGTTGCACTCCCTTCAGCCCCATTTCCACCTCGAGATACCTAAATGCAATGCAGAGCGATCGATTGATTTGGAAAAACGATCGAATGAGACCTCCTCTCTTTCTGTCAAATGCTTCATTACTTTTACAGCCATCTTCTCTCCAGATGGTAGAAAGGCAATGTAAACTACTCACCGCTTGTTGGTCATATCGGCGCCTTTACAGAATTTCGGGTCGGTTTCAGGCGGAGTTACGCGGCCGCAGACGTTACCGCAATCGTCGTATCCGTTTATCACACGGAAAATGTCACCCTTCTTCGCCACGTTCGTCACCATGAAGGCCTGTGAACCGTGAAAACGATGTTTAACGAGTGTGCTGGCAAAAGATAAAAGAAACACGAATGATGTCACTTACAAAGCCACCAACGAGAACGAGCAAGACGATCAGAGCCAAAATATCAGTGCATGATCGATCCTTCACAAAGATCTGCTCCGAATAGCTCGATGGCGAGCCTTGACTCTCGGGAGTCTGCAACGAGAAGAACGCGAGTTGTGATGTGAGGCGAAATTGTGGAAACGTGACGTGAATAATTCAGGTAATTATCTTACTGTGGGCTCCACTTTGGACGATGGCTCGTCCGCACAGCCACAACAACCCATCTCCGGGCTGGTCGGGTCCGCCGCCGGTTCCTCAGTACGATCGAACTGCTCCTCTCTCTGATCACCCTTGGGCGAGCCTGCCGCTGTGCCCGATGTGACAGCTTCGAAAACACAAATCGCAGATACGATTATCAGTCCGTCATAGGTGTAACGGTGTTTATCAAAGACTCGACTACGGTCGACAATTACTTGCAACACGTGCGATAAGTGTACATTGGCGAGCGATATAGAGATGTTTATTCTGCTTAAGCGCAAGATTTACGTGACTCTGATATCGCGGCCGGTACATCGATATGTTCTGAGCGAGGTATCGAAGTAACATATATATGATAGATTCCTGTGTTAATTTAATTTAATTAAAAATCAACCTATGAAAGCGACAAGCGTACCATATATCGGATAATCTGCCGAACTCCGAGAATGCCGTGAGGTTTTTGAAATTTAATCCGCGCCGGTCAAGAGAGATCCGCTCACTGCCTGACACACGCGTGACAGTCACGCAGAGGTGTGCGACAACGTTGATACCGGCTGCAATTCGATGACGATCGAATGCACCTTCGCTGCTTTCCGAGACACGCTCTTCGAACGAAACCTAGGTCACGTCGATATCGATCGATTAATACGCTGGGAGAGCTGCATGCCCTGGCATTGTTGTCGCAACGCCGGTCGGAACCAAACACCATCCATGGTAACGCGCGCGCGAAACATAATCACGATGGTTCAGGAATGTTCAAACATTTAAGTCCGTATTAATAGTCACCACTTGCAACTCGTCCCAGAGAAGAGATACTCAGATTTAGAAGTTCAGAGTTGGACGAGAGTTCTCCTACCGAACCGCGCGACTACAAATATAAATGTCACATTTATCATAATTCAAGTGAAAAACTTCTGACTTTGAATGAAAATCTGAGTACACGGGAAAAAATTTACAGATTTATTCGTGGGACATAAGGTTTATTGTTTCTGAGGAGTAGAGCTTATCTCTATCTTTCCGTGAAATAAACTTCATATCCCGCAAATAAATTTTCAAGAATTTCCTCTTCAGTGTGGAATGTACGGGCGGTTTATAGTTGCACGGAATACACTTCAATTAATACGCGAAGCGTGATTGCCGTAGTCAATTGTAGTCGCACTGACACGTAATAAGACAATGAATACGAATGATAAAAGTACGGAACGCGCGCTAAGTCTCACATCCCGCAGCAGTTATCTCGAGCCAAGTGATATTAACTGGAATATTCAGTGCGGTAATGTGACACATTTTCGCGGATGGTAAATCCGTCGGCCGAGTACTGCGTAATTTATTATCAGCACACGTGATTTATTATATACGCAACCTTTGCGTCTTTTATTGACAGGGAATTTATGACGATTACCGGGACTGTAAAAGTCGTGGGAATATGTATTGAGTGCGGCAGGCTAATGCTACTAACGTGTTTCGGGGAAGAAGCGTGGGAGAAGTTTACCGGACGTAAAAGGAGCGACGCGGTATTAAATGGTGGTCGTGGATACGGGCTTATCGGCGCGGCCTAAAAGACGCTTTCACGGCCTCAATTGTATGCGCTAATCGCCCTCTTCCTAAATACACCGATACGATCGTCCTCGCTACATTGAGCGGATTTAGCTCGTCCTACGTCCCGACGATTCCCAATTCTACAGATTGATCCTATTTAAACGTCGGCGCGGATATTACGTGAATTCGGAACGAGTAAAAAAATCACGTTACCAGTTATAGGACTTATATACGACTCGCGCTGAAATAATTATTGTTTTACTTGGAACTAAAGTATTTCGTGCATACAAATGATTTGGTTGACATGTTTTTATTCACATCAAGCGCATGTATTATTGAGAAAACGAAACACATCGCGATAATTAAATTTTTTCGTCGCAATTAGCAGACGCTTTGTTAATTACGGTCCGGTGTACCAAATTATCGTCTCGACAAAAAATTCTTTTTTTCAGTCAACGTCGATTTTTCAATCTTGACGAGTCTCTCTCTCTCTCTCTCTCTCTCTCTCTCTCTCTTTCTATATCAAAAATTAGCTTAATCCATCGCAAATGAAACTTTAATAACGCTCATGCTTTTATCCGGACGAATTACTTGATCACCGTCAATCAGCTGTCGAAAATCGATACACTCGACGCCAATCGCGAGAGCCAAATGAAACTTTAATGCGCGTCTGGCCCGCGACAATCAAATTACCGCACGCGTTTGCCCTCGTCGTGTCGCGAGGAATTCAAGATCGGAGCACGGACATAAGATGGATTAACATCTTACCGCTGCCTGTCGCCGCCGATATCGCCGGCATCGGCCAAATCGTCACGGCGTCACGTCGTCGTGAGCGCGTTTATTTAGTTTATTTAGTTTCTTGTTCACCGCTATCGGTAACTAGCCAAGATAACGATGGGCTGGTCTTCTAGTTGCGAGGAGCGCGCGTTCGACGCTAATGAATGCGTTTGTTCGTATAATTGTTTTTTTTTTTTTTCCTTGTTTCATATTATATTAAGTTAATTTAATTTGAATTATATTAATATATTAACTATAAGCAACGCCACGCCGTTGGTCAATTTCAATACACCGTTCATTTTCATTTCGTTTTATGACCAAAATTATAATCTTCATTGCTTTCAAAAAGAGCACTGTTCTTGAATTGTCGTGGAACGTTGGCGCTTTGTTCTTATCAACGGAGTTTGACGTCTTTATGATTTGCTTGAACTTTCTTCATTCACTCGTTGAGCGTCTCCCGATGTGTCGAAGTTAAAGGATTACGGTAGTTTTAGGGTAATGAAATATACTCTGGTATTGTCGCGCGCCGTTAATCGTCGCCGAAACTGTGCATTATTTTCGCGGTTGTTGGCCGAACGAGCAGCATGGATCTATTTTTCGCGTATCCGAAGGCATTGCCGGTGGATCCGGGCGAGTTCGCGTAAAGTTATGAAAGACGTATTTCTCGAAAACTTACGGGCATCGGACGGCGTAGTCTTTTCAATGAAACTTCCGTGAAAAGACGCTTAAGCCGAGGAGGAGAGCGAGAGCAAGAGGAAAAGAGTCGCGCGTATTTCCGAGGAAAAGCTCGAGGCAAGAAGTTGCGGATTTTTCTTGCGGATCAACACGCCATGGCTGTAACTGCATATATAATCTCATCCGCTGAGATGGGATGAGAAGAGTCGCCAGTGACAGGAAGAAAGAAAGAAAGAAAGAAAAAAGAAAGAAAGAAAGAAAAAGACTTATCTCGCGGAGAAAACAACATCAACTAAACCGCCGGTTTTCCACGTCCTTGCGACTCTACGCGACTTCGCGCGAGACAATTTGCACAATGGAAAGATGACTAAACGTGTTCGGAACGAGCGTTGCGTTAATTATGCCGCACACACGAGGAATTAAGAAGCAGACATTGATTCATCGGTATTCCCACACACACACACACACACACACGCGCACACGTTTGTCTATGAAACTCAGCTGCAGCAATAACTGCAGTTACAATATACAGTAAGTTGCGATGCAGCGAAATTATGTTTAACTTCTCATTTGACTTTGCGGTATTGACGCAGTATTGATCCGTAGTATTCGTTTTAATATCACATTAACGATTATTTATTTATGTTGGGTGGCGATAACTAGGTCGATCTTGACTCGTTTTGACTCTCTTTCATGTTTCTGTAATTAAGATTTCCTATGAATTCATTCTTTATATACGATGCTGGATGCACGATTTTGACAGATCGTTACTCTGGATATTTCTTTCGAGTGAAATGTTAACAATAAAAACAGAAAAGGGACCAAACTATGTTCTTATATAGGGTGTCTCACACTCTCCTCCGGGCATTTTGTGGGGACAAATTGAGGTGAACATAAAAGTTCTATACCGTTTTGCAATATTTGCAATAATTATTGAGATATTAATTGTAGAAAACTTGTAAATGATCATGCAGAATATAATAAATGAGTTATAGTAGCGACGACTGCCGTTGTGTACTTATACTTTAGGTCAAATTGAACAAAAAAGTCTTCTACCATTTTCCAAATAATCACATAGATTTTTAATTATTAATTAAAGAAGATTATTGCATGATTTTGCATGATAATGCACTCATCTTCTTTAATTAATAATTAAAAATCTATGTGATTATTTGCAAAATGATAGAAGACTTTTTTGTTCAATTTGACCTAAAGTATAAGTACACGATGGCAGTCGTCGCTGTTATAATTCATTTACCATATTCATGATCGTTCACAAATTTTCTACAATTAATATCTCGATAATTATTGCGAATATCGCAAAATAGTATAGGACTTTTATGTTCACCTCAACCTGTTCTACGTCCCCACAAAATGCCCGGAGGAGAGTATGAGACACCCTGTATAAACATGTCCATTAAAAAAAAAAGAACAAAGTTGAATATTCAAAACAAAGAAGAATCTTCAAAAGGAAACAAATAATTTTTTTGGAGTGTTATGGGCTCTTCAAAAAGTGATTTTCTCTCTCCCTCTCTTTTCTTCCTTAACTGTTTCGTAATTTCTGATCTTCTAACCTATAATTTCCTCCAATAGTTGTTATACGAGACGACGAAATACGTGGTCTTCCGGCACTGAACGATGCGTTTAGCGAAAAATTGCGAAGCACAGGCGTGCCATTCATGCATCAAAAGTATTATTATGATTATTCCAGCATGATTCACTTCAACTGCGCAAACAGATGGACATACAGTTCATTCCCTCGACTCAAGTATATCTTGCTTCCATACGCCGAACTGAATTGATACGTAGCACTATTGAGAAACCGACAGCTGCCGATCGGGCAGATCGACACGCAGCCTTAGAACACGTTCCTGTCTGTCTACGTGTCCTCGTTTCACCTCGAAGGAGTCTGTTTGTCTTCTTTGATAACAATTGACGAAAGACTTGTTACCAGCAGGCCATCACAAAACAGATTTCCCAATCGATGTACTGATATTCGTGAAGATGAATGATATTATGAGGATACGATACGACAATGATCAAACTCAAGTGTCTCAAGACTGAGAAATAAAGAGCTAAATACACGACGTTCGATTTTCACGAGGAAAAATATGGGCGTCGTGAACTTCTCAATGGACAGTTACGATGCACAAGTATCTAGAGGGGACACTCGATCTTAGAAGACGAACCTATACCTGACCTGCTCGAGCAAAGGTTTTGAAAAGGTTCCCAAGACACCACAACCAGTAAGAAGGAATGGCCACTAAAAGCAGTCGCTCGATGTTGAGCGCGATAATTTAAATCTAATAGCGGCAGAGTCTAAAGTTTGGAAAGTCCAAGTTCGACTTCTGGCTGAGGCAGAATTTTTCACAACACTAACGAAAAGTTTTCTATCAAAGTACGAGGTGTATATAGGAGAATATTACAAAGAAATTAAAATAAAAATATTATACGCGGAATTAAGAGTCGCGTACAACTAATTTTCTGTTGCTTGGAGACTAGACGGAAACTCAGGCGAAAACTCAATGAAGAAGACAAAGAGAACAAACGGAGAGATTCCTGTAGATTACATCATACGATAAGTCGTTACAGTTTCATCTTAGCCGAATTCTCAGGAGAATGTTCCGACAAGTATCTCGTCTCGTCTACGTTAACGATTTTATTCTCTCGTTGTTAGATTTAAATGGTCGCATTCAACAACTGACGCACTCAGCTTTCCATACGGACTGAGTAATTTACTTGGACTGATCCTTGGATGGAGGGTAGCCGAGAATAGCTTACAAAAGGGATCTCGAACCTTTCAACTAAGCCCCTTTCGCCTTTTGAATATATTCGGCTCTAAGGTGATTTTCAACAAATGATTCATGAGAAAGATGCGCGTTAAAAATTCTGTAACGCCATCCTCGCGCTCTGTTTCATGTATTTTCTTGAACAATAGCGGAACGATATGTACTACTTTCCATTTTTAAAGCATCATTTTAAGAGTTTGCGATAAATAAGGAATTTCTAAAGGCACTCGTAAATTGAAGAACAGCGAGAATCGCTGATGTGGACTCGCGGTGAATTCCTCCTCTGAGTTGCGGCGAAATTTTGTTTTATGCAATGGGGCGGTTTTCGCGTCGTTGATTATGTATATAATTATGTAGATTATTAATAGCCACGTAATTCTATTCTAATTACATTTGACGAGTAATACGAGTCAGCTATTATTTAATATGGAAATCATAAGCAGATAGATGCGGATTGATAGATAATGTTCGCAATTACTAAGCTGTTTGTGTGCGTCGTTTCTTTTCAGTGGCGTAACCAGAAAAAAAGGGGGGCTGTACTTCTTATTTTTGACGAACAAAAAAGGTCATTTGAAAAAATTTTTCTCATACTTAGCGTAATCCAGAAAATTAATTTCGAGGAGGCGCTGCAGCCCCCTTAGTCTCCCTCTGGCTACGCCACTGTTTCTTTTCATAATTTACGATCTTGGCGGAAATGTCGATTTTTACGAGCTCCGCTTATTGAGCCTGATAACAAAAGATAAAATAAATAAAACAATAAAAAACAAATCAGCTGATATCAATGATAAGGAAGTGAAGAGCTGTATTTTTTATTCGTCTCGCGCACGCATTCGTATAAACTTCAATTTACTTCATAAATTCTATAAAAGAAACCGGGATGAACCCACATAGATCTTTTTCTTATTTTTCTTTTTGTTTTACACTTCTCACTTTCTCTATCTTCATCGTTCAGAATTCATCTTCATCGTTCTGATAAAGAATTAATCATAATTACCATAGCAATTATGATTAATTCTTTATCAGAAAATAGCGTCATTTTTCGGGAAAAAATTTAATGAACTTCACGATGAAAGGTAGAAACTATACTGATCATTTGGGATTGGATCGTGAGCGACTCGATAGTGCAAATACTCAAGGAATATGATTGGACCGTGAGCGGATCGTAAGCGGAACATGAGCAGACTGATAGTGTGGATCGGGCTTAAAGCATCCTCTTCTCTTTTTAGACATTTTTCATACGTGTTAAAAACATCTAAAAGACGTTCTCTCTTTTCAGCATCTTTTAGACGTCTTAGAAGTTTATACTGTCTCGGTTGTTTCTGATTTTCGTATTTATTACGAACGAACGTCATATTTAGATAGTGTCCTTGGTATCTCTGTGTAAAGCCAGCAAATATGACCAAACCATTAGAAAAGTTTTTTGTGAAATAACAGTACTAGATATTTTTTTTATCGTGAAAGTAATATGCGACCGAGTTAGAGATATGACACTTCACGTTTTATAAACAAGCTGGCACACATCGAGTCAAGAGTGTAGGTCTTGGTGTCCGGGATAGTTATTACACATTTTATTGATTAAAGAAAAAAGATGTAAGACATATATTTAATATATTAAATATATAAAAATATACAAAATAATATATAAAATGTATAAAAAAATTAAATATATAAAAAATAAAAATTTAATGTATTTTATATATTTTATATATTTAATATTTTTTTAATATTGTGCACATTTTCATATGGACACAACATAAAATAAAAACTTAGGTAAAAGAAAAAAAATAATCCTCATATATTTATGCATAAAAAAGTTATTAAGCTGTAAGCCAAATCGTACAAATCCACTTCATACTCAGGATTGATTGTCACATGTCTTTTATATAAAGAAAACAAGACAAATTACAAATGCAAAACAAATACAAAAAGAGAACAAGACAAATTTCTTCTGTTTTAGGGTTTAATTGTTTTATTAGAGTTAGTGATATCTTATAATCAGATACAATAAATAATCATTAAACTGAGAAGATAATCTCATAAACTTTGTAATAATAACTTTGAGCTTTCTATAGGATGCTTGAAGCATACTCGCTTGTGGCATGTATAACATAATAATAGATCATTGCGTATGATATTCCATGCTCTTGCGTAAGTCACGTCGTGGCTACGTGACGGATTCGCAACGCGTGACAACTAATCCCATTTAATTTGAGTCAACTTAATTCGAATGGTCATTTGGAATGAAGAAGATTATATTTATAAATTATTTAGCTAAACACACCCATAACATTTCTTGCAACTAAATAGAGATTGCGGCCAGAGATTCCAGAGCCAACGGATCAATAAAAATAGAGACAAGGAAGCATTTATTCGCCGGGTTCAATTTTGAAAAAGCACCCATAAATACCACGTTTCTGTCATAAGCTATTTCGTACACCCAACTAACATGACCCAAGCAACCCATACTATAGAGAAGAATATACTCATCTACACATTTATTACGTGACATATAAGCTTTGTGACAACTAATCCGTGTATCTTCTAGAAACCCGGTCTGCCCTATTCTCGTTATATTTATTTTCTATCACCCACCTATTCTCTCTCTCTCTCTCTCTCTCTCTCTCTCTCTCTCTCTCTCTCTCTCTCTCTCTCTCTCTCTCTCTCTCTCTCTCTTCCTTTCTCTCTCCCTCCCCACGATTAATTTATTCGGCTGCAATTATGCGTGAGATTGCGTGAAGTATTTTACTCTCTCCTTTTAGTGCTGCAAGAAGTTTTCTCGAAAAATCCACCATCTCGAGAGACAATGTCACTCTTCCGTTTTGTGCTCAAAGCTCAAACCTCGACGAATAAGAGGAGCAGTGGCATATGAGTATTGCGGCAGCGTAAACGGACGTGGAGATCACATCACCGTCGTTGTACCTTGATGAAGATTTCCCACCGCGTCATTCACACATTATGATAATCCCGTGTTCTTCGTTCTTCAATTATTCATGAGATTCTGGCAACGGACCCTCCCGCGCGCGCGGTTGGCAGGCGGGCTTCTCCCGTAACTTCGTCAAAATCAAAGGCGAAATCGTTGCCTTTAATCCTCACACGCCCGGTGCGGCTTTTCCGAGCGGAAAATACAGCGGGTATCTCTCCGCGCTAACCGCGAGTAAATCCGGACAGCGTATCCTCGTCACTCGTGTAACCTTTTGGTTACACGATCGATGCACTATCAACGCAACTGCCTGAAGATAGGCTTATGCGGCACGGTTATTTGCTCGATTTGGCGTATATATACACTGTGTGTTTCCGAAGGGACGTAAAAGGAAACGCAATTTCGTCCGGCGAAATGTATCCTCGTAAAGACACGACGCTAAAACTCCCAGCAGAGAAGCGATGCAATGTCGATTTTTCTTTCGCATTATTTCGTTTACATTGATAATAAGCGCTTACCGTTGTTTATAATCAATTAACCGTAGAATGAATATTTGATTTACACAATTATATGGGTACATAGAGCGGTCGATTGACTCGGCTTACCCGGGTTACAAAAATACAATAAAATTACACAAACAATTGTGGTATGCTTTAATAATCTCATATAGCAATATCAGCGCATCCAAAGCCCCGCGGGCACAGCATGATAAAATAAGCGAGAAATCAAAATTTCATGTAGTAGTGAGTCCAGTCTCCTTTCTACACGGAGAGAATGTTATAGTTCTTTTTTCATAGACATTTTTTTTCAATTTTTAAAATATCTAATCTAATCTATTGAAAGGCTCTGAAATTAACAATAAAAAAATATCTTATCAATGTTACTGTTTCTAATAGTGCAGAAATAGAGATTATCAGTAAATTCTATCTTGCTGAGAAACAGTAAATTTTGCTAGAAACAACAAATTTCGCTAGAAACATAGTAAATTCTTTAACAGCACACTTCAGTTCCTAGAATATAAACACATACGAAATGAAAGGATAATTAAGAATGCCGCAGAATGTCGACCTGTTTCTCGGTTGCAAAAGTCTACAGTAATTTTTGCTATAGAATTCTCTCTATGTAGTGGTGCAGAAGTAGACTGTCAGTGCGGTGTAGCTTGCTAAAGAGCATAATAAATTTCGCTAGAAACGCCAATTTTGTGCCAATAGCACACTCGAGTTCCTAAAATCTAAATGGCACACACGAAATGAAAGGATAGTCAATTACGGCAGAATGTCGACCTACATACCTCGCTTGAGAGATTCTACACGAATTTTTGCCACAAAATTCCCTCTATGCGTGCAGGGTTAATTATCGGCGAGATTAAGTGCAATTAGTACGCATCGCGTTAACGAGAGCGACGGGTAAGACGATGGATGGTCACGCGAACGACAAGGAAAGTGCTTCAAGGAGCACAGAGTGGGGTAAATTCCTAAATAGGAGCGCCGGTCAGAGGGCTCTTTGTTTCTCGCCGTGGCGTATGATTCATTGACCTCAGAGCGCCGAGAATTCCTTCAGCGAATTATATCTCCGCCCGCTGATCATCCACCGGGCTCTGGTCGGGACGTGCGGGCACATAACGACTGAAACGCGGTGTGTGCGCTCGTACGAGTTACGAGGATGTTTGCATGCGTAACGTAGCATTAACCTAACGTTAATATGCATACGTAATCGATCGGTCTGAGTTGAGCGATTTTGCATACAATTATTAGCTCACGTGAACAAAGTCGCGCGCGGTCCGGAGTCGCGCGTTCACGTCGTTGATGGCGCGGCTTAGAGGAGGCACGACAGATTAATCGCTCTTAGAGCGCGATTAATAGACGGAGCTGCCGTCATAGCCGCCGCGCCCGTTTTTCCAGCTTATTATTGACGTTCGTTTTATTATTGACGACGATCGATTTTTCGGATCTGCGCCCTCGGCTAAAGCGCATCGGCCGTGGACATGTTAGCGTGACAGTCGGGACGCTATTATTGAGAGAGAAAACCCCTCCTACATATCCCTGCATTTTTCTTTCCTCAGGCGAATACGCCGCGACCCATTTGTCATCGCGAGCGTATCGCGCGCGCATCAGTCGCGAGCACATCCGAGGACTCGAGTGCATGCACAGACGTATATGCACACGTACGTGCATACATATGCACCTGCAATGACGGCGCGCGCGTGACGCGCACCTGGCGCGCGCGGAAACGTTTCTCGCCCAGTGATTTTCATCCGAAGGGGAAGAAGAATCGACGGTGGTTCATCAAGAGCGCACAGGTCACCGTCAATATTTATTATTGCGCCCCATATTTATTATTCTAATAAATTACCGAGTAGCCGCCGGCAAATATTGAGCGGTCGTCAATATTAAAAGTGCCGGAGAGCGTCGCGCGACTAGCAAAATACTTCTTGCACCGTCGATAAATATTGACAAACACAAGTCGTATTTTCATGTATTACAGTGAAATGGCTGAATAAGCTTCCTCGAGGTCTCGCACACCACCGGCAGATAAACTCACAGTATACTCGGCGTTAAATGTTTTCGCATCGACACTCGCACGCGTACATCAGCCCGCATACGAACAACTGACAATCAAAAAATGGACGTCTGTTGTGAGAAAGACCTTCGGAAACGAGGGCCGTGCGCAGAATACCGGAACCACGAGAGACACGCACACTCGCGCAAAACGAGGTCTTACCGTTGCAATGTGATGTAAAACCGTGTCGCGATCTGCGGTAACGATCGCGACACACCTGTGGGCGTAGCTTGCGGAGCGCCGAGGAGTGAAGAAGGCAGAAAACAGGGGACCGTATACAAGAAAGCGAATCAGACGGCTTGCAACGATTCCGACAAGCGTGCGCGCGGACAGCCGGCTTCCTGCTCGCCGATATCAACTGCCGTCTTATCACGGCAATTACAGCGGGGAGCAGCTGAGTTGGCGCGACTGAGTCAACTTGATAAGACGCACCGATCTCGATTAAGTTAGAGAGCAAGCAGAGAAGAGGAAGA